ACCATATAGGACTGTTAAAATGAAGTGAGAGATGCGCAACTTGACCAAAAGCAGTACACACCTCGTACATTATTTGAATGCCAGTTTTAAGCAGTAATATTATGCTATGGGTGCAATTTATGGTGGAAGGTTGCTTCTGGGCATATACGGAACTTACCGGGCTAATGTCGCCGAAACCGTGACTTTCAGCCATCGTGGCCTGTTGTCCCTGTTGAGATGTGCGAAGGTGAATTAATTCATTTCATCCCCGAACTCGAGGTGATTCGTATGCTGACAGGATACGAAGGAAACTTCACGAAGATCACGGTCTATTGAAATGAGTCTACACACAGAGCGATTTTCATTCATTGCGTATTCTCCAGCGACTTGTATCATGTTGGATATATGTTTAGTTACATGAATACAGGTTCGGTGGCCAGGGTTCTTGCGGGGCAAGAACAAGGGCGGGCCTCAGGCCACATTGCCCATGTTTGTATGGTGGGAAACGCGCCAGTTTTTCTTTAAACTTTTATGTTAATATTAAAAATGGGTATTGTTGCAACGGCTTGAAGCTTACGGGATTCAAGTTTGATGTGTTAGCTATTCATCCTTGGCTGGTTGTCTTACAAACTTTTAAATATCGCCTAGTGTTGGCCAAGGACGGGGAGGGACATTTTGTTTAATCGCATTCGTGGTATTATTTTTGTGAATCTTGGTAAGCGGTGTTAAGCTACTTTGTAGTTCGTTGTTTTAGTGATAAGGATGTGTGTATACGTCTATAAATTTGGTATGAGGTGTTAGTTGTTCTTGGGGGCACAATAAGGTCGACTAATCTGCTAAGTTTTTACAGGCTCCGTGTGAGGTTCGGTTGCCTGGTTAGCTTCGGTGTCTAGCGTCTGGTCCCGTCGCCGCGCCTTGCCCTATCAGGCGTTCCTGGTATTTATGTTGCAATGTGGTATAGCAGTTTATTAAAAGAATTGAAAGAATGTAGTAACCCTAACGTGGCGTTGATATTAAAATGGCAATTAGACGGACTCACATAGTACATGCAAGGATTTAGTTTTTATGTGTACTTGCACCAGATATACTACAGAGTATAACGGGAATCAATAACTTTTCTCTTTATGTAATTCAATATTAACAAGCAATTAAATTATTGTGCCATCAAAAGATGAGACAAAATCATGTATGTTAGGGGTTTAGATTTTCACTCACAGTTCATTTTTGAACGTACTATAAATAGAAATGAAATGTACAAACTTTCAATAACTATTAATTTTTTGTTGTCATTACTATTTCTAACAGCCTAAAAAAAACATCACATGTAAGAAATAAATTTAAATCCATTCGTTCAGTTCTCATTTTCTTATTTGAAACTTTAGCCTATTTTTATAACTCCCTTTCTTGAGGGTCGCCTCAAACATAAAGGAAATATAGATCAGACGAAAGATAAATGCAGCCTTCCATTAGTCCAAGACATCATTAAATGGTGGCACCAATGGAATTCGAATGCAAGTTTCTGAAGAGACTTGTGGAGCAGCAGTAGAGCTCCTTACCAGAGAGTGATAATGATTAAATGAAGTATTTAACTAAGAGCTTATTTTACATAAAAGAGCCGTCTGACTGAGACGATTTTGGTATCGTTAGATTCCTCTTATACTCTACTATCCACATATATATCGAAATTATTGCAGAAACACCACTCTCTTCTCTGGCGGCCAGTTGTAACATCTCTCCCAGTATCCTCTCCAACGTGCTCCACTCAGCTACCGCGCGAGCTACGCTACCAACGACAACTGCTAACTCTCGACCCTTTCAAGGAGAGCCACTTCGTTCGGTTATCCTTCTCGTTCCGATGTTGCCTGCGGTCGCCGGGGGGTGGGTCACTCCCGAGGGACATCTCCGGCTCGTGTTGCTCTTCTGAGCTTAGTGGGCGCCGATTGTCCTGCGTGACGGGATGCCTCGCTGATGCTGGGCAGTGTTGCCCGGCTCTCCTGGGGCTTTTGCTGGCGCTGCCTTCTCGTCGGCGGTCCGGGAGCGGGACCTTCTGCGGCGCCTTCTTCACCCCCTTCCTATCGAGTTGGACAGCGCCGGCTAGTACGACCGAGGACGGCCACTTTCCCGCTTGGTACCAGGCGTCGGGGCAATTGACGTGCCTGCTACGGACCTTGCGGTCCACTTCAGCTACGGCTGCAGGTTGGCCTCAGTGGCGACAGCGAAACCCGTTCCACCTTGAAATAAAAAGTGGTAAAAAAAAAAAAAAAACAGAAACACCCCCATTACCGAAATCTTGGCCCCAGTGGCAAGGAAGGGCTGATGCCCCAACCCCCTATACGGGAAATAAAGATTCCTCATGCCCATGGTAGAATAGAACGCACACAAACTGCATGTTAGGTGAACATAGCATTGTATAGCCTTAGACTTATAAGGTACTAATCTGATTGATTGCTGCCGATGACTTAAGAGGGTGCTCAGCCAATGGTGATAAAGGTGATGAAGACGTGCATAGCATCAAGGTTCACGGTGATCTCAAGCATGAAGTCGGTCACTCTGAGTAGTCTCATTTCTCGTCCAACGCGACGGATATAAATATGCAACCACGGCGGAGCCGCCAGCCCCATCTCATTGCTGTTGTGGACTCCTAGGTCTTGGTTTCCAGAAAGGAAACTCGATCTCAAGGCTACATTTTCACTCAATAGATGGCGACACAGTCAGTATAGGAAGTAAATGGGATATTTACTGCCATCTAATATCTGAAACTGTCATACGTCCTCCTAATATAAAATGTATCTTTACACTCTATCATGCTAGATCACCGCTATGCCCCAGGAACTGCGCACGACCCGCCGAGGAGATCGGGCCACCGCGGCCTCCAACGTTCATCTGGACTATCATACATTTTACTCTGTATACAATGCTGACTATGTCACAGGTCAGTATGCTGCTACTCTGGGCACATTCCATTACCCTTGTGATTGTCTAAAGCTCTAGCCGTACATACATATGGATTCTTTGTCTTCCATGGCGGGGGTTGGGGACAGCACATCCCCTGGGGATGTGCAAGCCCTTGCACTGTACCTTGTAGGGACTTATTCGTTTTGTATTAGAAGGTACAGTTTCGTTTTTACTGTATTATATTATTTTCCCGGGGAGGGGTCCATGCAATTTTTTTTTTATATATTATTAGAGAGGGAGAGGAATCCATCCAAAAAAAAATCCGTAAACAACGTAAAGTTGCCCAAAAATAAAGTAAATAAAGGGAAAAAAATGACGCCTAACACATTGCCAGGAGTATAGAAATAAATTTGATTTCACATAATCCCTGACTATATCGTTTCCTGAGGCACATTTACATAATTATACGGCATTATTGGTTGGGCTGCCTGTTGTTTGTACACATGCATAGCCATCAATATGGCTGACTTTTTATTATTTATATGATTAAAATCTAAATATTCTGGTCAAGTCTGGCTTTTGTGAAGGGGGCTTGCCTTTCACACACATGTATGATCAACTATTGGCGCGTCTGGGTCATATCTCATTCAGATTTCAGCAGGATAGCAAAAACATCCCCGTAGTTTCTGGGAAAAAAAACTAACAGTCACAAATAATAATTCATTTACTGCACGATACATATTTGGCTATGATTATTCATGTAATTCCATATATATTTTCTGTGTATTATACAGATATTGAGTATCTGTTTTCATGCAACTGCTGCACTAAATACTATCACTAAGCAATATTTTTGTTATCTGATTTCTTCAATACATTTATAATCATTGTGTCTTTATGCATGTATGATTGTGAATATGGCTTTAGATCAACTGCCCGATTACTCAAGCAATTGCTGAAGGTGACTTCAGTGGCTTTTGTCACTGAAACATCGATTGCGACCATGAAATCACATCATTAATTTGTCTGCTGCCAGTGAAGTTGGCATGGTTCTTATATTCTTTCGAAATTCAGATAATGCAAAAAGGTTAAAATAAGTGCGT